ATAGACATAAAAAAACCAAAAAACACTGTGTTTTCAATCAATTTGACAAGAATTTATTGATAGTAAAGGATAAATAAATGAAATTTTTTGACTGTATTGGATTATATAAAAATGTAGATTTAAGATTTGGTCTTCATGAAAATAATTCATTTAAATCAGACATATAAATTAAAAATATTGCATATAAATACATTAAATATAACTACATTAAATGCATGAACATAAAAACAAATATAAAAACAACTTATCTTATGTATTGTGTAGTAACAAATTTTTTGTATTTTCAATACTATGATAATTTATTAATATACTAAATGCATTAGAAGAGTATCTCTACAATAAAACTATCTTTATATTGTGAAATTAGAAGTACAGTATAGAGTGAAAACAAACCTCATGATTTCATTGTAATTTTATTTGTATATTATTACAACATTAAATAGATACTAAAAATTACTTTTATATTGAATGTGCTGATTATTTTATAAGTATTAATTTTTAATTTTTTCTCAAATATTTTTTATTAACATTGCCAATGTAATTAAAATAACAATGAATTTGATATTGAAGTTTTTAATGTCTTAACTGCTGCAAGCTTATCTACATAAATGAATTTTATTGCCTACAAGAAAAAAGTCATATGATTATGAAAATCTGTTAAAATAATTTTCTAAGCAGCACAATGAAACAATTTATAATGTAGATCATAATAACATGTTGATGAATATGTGCATTCATTACTGTAATCTCAGTAAGTTATGCTATAAAGGTTATAAAATTTTGAAAAAAGTAACATTCAGAATACATTGCTTCCTGGAAGCAGTTGAAAACTGTAATGCATGTTCTTCATATCTTTATTCAAGTATCAATTTTCTGACTATATAAAATATTTCTTTAAAAATTTCTGATAACCATAAATAATTTGTTTTGTGAGTTTATATTGTCTGAAAGATAAAATTATGCTTTGTCTACAAAGAATGTTCATCACATATATTACTGTCATTATTTTTAATTCAATTTTGAAAGCATTCAAAATAAAAACTCTCTCAGTGATCATAGTCCTTTTTTACTTCTTGCATAGTCAACTTTACAGAAAAAAAATTCTCTGTTTTGTAAGCTTACAAAATGAAGATAAAGTTCATTTTATATTGACTTCCTTATTCATTTTGAAAATTTTGCTGCAACTTTTAGAGATTTTCAACAGATTGTCCTCTAATAAAACTGTGAACATATTTCTTCTTGTATCTACTACAAATTAGTTCGATAAAATATATTCTTAAATATAAATCAAACAATATGCTAATATTTAGGAATATTTCCTAAAATTTTTTATCTCACAGTTACTTAATGCTTATTGTCATTTCAGAAAACACGTACGTAATTCAAAATATTTATTTTTTAATTTAGCATAATTACAAAAATTAACAAAAATGCAATTCAATAATTCTTTTACTTCTGTGATAAATATTTGTTATTATTGTATTATCAAATTTCAATAGGCTATGCTAATTCAATCTGGTAAGAAAGAAAATTCACCCAAACAGTGATTTGTTAATAGATGATAATACAAGAGAAAAATTTTTCTAACACTCCACTTATACTATTTGAAATATAACATATTTATCTAGTTATTGTATACTAAACAGCAAAATATTTTAAATAAAATTTTATCTCAGTAAAAAATTTATAATCTTATTCAAAAAAGACCCTTCCAATTTTTACATAAATATGATCTATGAATCAATTCTGATCTTAAATACACTTCCTATTATATAATAAAAGTAAAAAGAAGAATTTGTTCATTGTTGCAATACTGAGAATTCAAAAATAATAGCAAGATATTTCGATGAAATTACAATACAGTAATACCTCGACTTACGCAAACCCGGAGTTACACGATTTTCAAATCGCGTCGATTCGTCTTTTGTTTGAGCAGCACACAGCTCTTGATTACTCTCCCCCCACACTATTGTTCAGCTTACATGTTCGGATGTGTCGCACGGAATCGACACATACCTACAATTTATTTTGTGTTATTTATTTCTGTGTTTGTTATATCTACGGAGACTTGAGAGACTCTATGTGGTGATTTCTTGTGTGAGATCAGCCAAGGGTATAGGTAAATTCCCTATATCACTTACTGGCCACGATCGTGAGATCGGTTCTCTAAACTTTCATAGAAGAGCGATAACCACTAGTTCATCCGAACCGCGAAGTTCAGATGCTCGTCAGGGGACTGACACCAGTTTGTCAATTAAATTCCGCGGACAAACACGCGTGTGAGATCTGATTCGACACAGAATAAAGGGACATTTAATTATAAACGAAATAATAAATTTAATAAAACAAGAAAATAAATCATACAAAAATCTCAGTGAACGAGAGATAGAATTACCACAAATAACATACAAATCGAGAGATAGCATACAAATGATACTGTGAGATCAGCCAAGGGTATAGGTAGATTCCCTATATCACTTACTGGCCACGATCGTGAGATCGGTTCTCTAAACTTTCATAGAAGAGCGATAACCACTAGTTCATCCGAACCGCGAAGTTCAGATGCTCGTCAGGGGACTGACACCAGTTTGTCAATTAAATTCCGCGGACAAACACGCGTGTGAGATCTGATTCGACACAGAATAAAGGGTCATTTAATTATAAACGAAATAATAAATTTAATAAAACAAGAAAATAAATCATACAAAAATCTCAATGAACGAGAGATAGAATTACTACAAAATACATACAAATCGGGAGATAGCTATACTTCTATTATACCGAAGGCACGATCGAGAGAGAGAGCTCACAAAATCGTTATAAAACATACAACCTCCTTTAGTTGTCGTTCGTCTTCTTCTCTGTAGATAGGTCACTTTGGATAAAGTTCATTTACCTCTTCATATGGGAGATCAATATGTGCACAAATATAAAAGTATATTTACTTAAAAAATTCCTTATTCATATGCATTTCGGGTTGGCTTAAATGCCCAACCCCTCTTCAGTGCTGTTAAGGTTACACAAAAAAATTTAATTTAAGGTTAGTTTTACGGTATTGGTTAGTAGGAACATAACTAAAAACGCGAGGTGATGATAACATAAAATTGCTTACTTGACATATAATGGTACAGCATAGATGTATTTTACAAAAATTTTTTGATTANGATTAAGCGACAATCTCCTCAATGACTTCTTTCAGATAAATCAATTTTATAGATATTTCCTTAAATAAATATCGGGTCTTCAATTTTAATATAAAATTTCAAATATATTAATGTCTATGTTAGTTTTGATTGATTACAAAAATTTATATCAACTTTACGAAATTAATTCTGTATTTATTCAATGCCTAAACATTTTTCTAGGACAACTCCTGAATTCAATTGGATTAAACGAATTTTAAAAATACATATTTTTTTTGATAAATAATTATTATATTCGTTATACTTTTTATAATAATTTTTAAAAATGGAATCATTAAAAATTCGATATTCTGGTTCAATAATAATTACATATTATTGCTTCATTTCCCAATGCAATTCTTCATTCATTAAATAATCCCAAAGCATTTGGAAATTGAAATTCAAGATACATTTAAAATGACTTTAGAAACGACAAAATATCATTAAATTTCAGAATAAATGTATAATGTAAACTGTAATATGTGCAATTTTTAGTATAACAAAAGAAATTTAATAATTCTGTGTGTATATTTTTAAAAATTGTTCTATTGTATTTTTAACAGTGTAAATAAGTAAATTATAAGTTTTGTAATAAAATTGTTTCTGTTGAAAATTTTCAAAATGCTTAGAGTTATTAAATATAAAAATAAATAAAGAATTATAAATGTGATTGTCTGTAAAAAAAATTTCATAATACTATCAATTGTTTAGAATGGAAATATATCTAATTTACAGGGAGGGAAGAAAAAAACTTATTAATACTGTATATATAAACAACAATTATTGGTTTTTACCTGTAAGTATATATATACATTGGAAAAATGTGTAAGTATTATATATATTCATTTATACTCCATATATAGAGAGTACAAATGAATCTGTATATATTTGAATTATATTTAATTACCAAATACTTATCCTAACATCTTACTTCAGAGAAGTAAAAATAAAGTAATTAAGCACTATAATTTTATGTTTAATTTTGTCTTTTCATTATTAAAAAAATTTTTAAAATGTTTGCATTTTTCACTTTCATTATTATTTTTCTTTGAAAAATTTAGACAATTTGAATTATGAAAAAGACACACATTTTCTCATAAAGCTCTTCTGAATTTGATGTATTTTCTATTATGAAGGTTTTATTAATGAAATCAAATTAATTAATTAAATCATGATTTATAACAATGATCAATTAATACAATGTCCTTTCTTTTTTTAAATCAAATGTTAATACTAGATATATTGAAGAAAATGGGAAAGTAAATAACTCATTTAATCCATCACAAGTTATAATATTCAAAAGATATAAATATGCTTTGATTAATTTTTCTATAAAATTTATATTTTAATGAATTAAATTAAAAGAAACATCATATTCAATTTTTACTCATTAAAAATTTATTATTTGCATGTACAGGAAAGGAAATTTTAAAATTTTTAATAAACTGAATTCTTTAAAATTTATATATCATAAACATCACAAATGTCATAATTATCTTTGAAAATNCTTTTATTATATGATTTTCTAATTGGTCTTTGAATAAAATGGAGAAAAAGTGATTCATACATTTCATCAAATGAAATATTGTCTATTTGAAGATCATCATCTCATATTTTAAATGCATTGCTAACAAAAGCAATTTTTTACATGTAACATTTCAATTTTTATGAATAAAGTAGTTCATTTTTGAAATTAAACATTGTCTCCAATTGATATATAGAGTATTTATAAGTACAATAAAAATTAATTTCATTCAGATTTCAGTAACTAAACCAATTATCTACACAACATATCTAATTCAGTGAATATAGAATTTATAAATACTAAAGAACTCACATTATAGCTTTTGACAGACATCTGAAAAATAAATTCCTATGTCATCAAAATAATTAATAAAATTTCAAAAAAAATCTGCAAAAAATTTCACTGTTTTTTTTAAATATAAATTCTGTAATACTGTAAACTCAGGTAACTTAACATTTAGTAGTATTGGTTAAACCCAAGTAAAAAAAATTCATTATAATTGATTTTGTTTATAAAATATTGAAAATAATAATAAATAGTAATTCTAAACAGCAAAAATGCAAAAATTTGTACATTATAATATAATTAAAATTATTAAAAAAGTTTTGAAAA